ACAAATACTCCCTCCGTCCCTATTTACTTGTCCATATTTCCTTTTTTGGTTGTCCCTATTTAGTTGTCCATTTTGACAAATCAAGAAAGGACAACAAATTTTTTCCTATTATACCCTTATTTACACTTCTTGAAAATTGTAAAAGTGTATGTTGTTTCCCTCCAATTTATTTCACTTGAATTCAAATAAGTGGTTGTAATTTTGAAGTGAAAAGTTGTCATAAGGGTAAAATTGTAACTTCACTGTGCTAATCATTGTTGCCTTAATCTGTGTGCCATTTCTAAAGTGGACAACTAAAAAGGGACGGAGGGAGTATTTTTTTTCTAATCTGTTTCTGATTCTAGTTTTAATTTTCTAGTTGTGAAAATGTTCTTAAACTTTATTGTGTCTTACCAAGTTCTTCAAAGTTTTGTTCTAAGTATCTTACGAATACAAGATGAACAACAGTGCGAACTTGGTCTTTGTTATCTATTTCTTCTAATTTTGGGTGTGCCTAAATAGATACCTACCTAAATCATACAAAATTGAATTAGTAGATACATACATCTTACATGACGTCTTACGTAACAATCCACATCCTACATGAAATCCTACCTATATTATGCCTTGTAGGACGTGCGTATCTGTTTGTTCAACTTTATACAAGTTTATGTATTTAATTGTGCACATCCAAAATTAAAGGACATAAATGTGAGCCGAAACCTAGGGCTTTTATATATATTATAATCTTACACCATAACTAGAACATACAAACAATTTAAAATTACTATAAAAGATTTGTTTTTTTTATTCAAATGGATTCTTCTAGCACAATTCATACAAAAGAAGAATTAGAAGCCAATCATATTCACAAGTTTAATTACTTGACACCACAAAATTTATAGATAAGATTTTTGATTGATCAAATGGATCCTTCTAGCACAATTCATATGCAACTTTATATAACACAAAAGTATAATTATCAACCATTACAACATTATTGTGCTAACTACCAAAAAAAAAGGTAACAAAAACTATACACTAATGGCTTCTTTACTTATGTCATCTTCATTTCTAGTCCATATCGGAGGATCCAACTACAGGAGAACCAGGAACGAAGGGGTTTCCCCCCTCTCCGCGCATTCAAATAGAATAAGAGTGCTAAAAGTTAATGCCTTTAATAAGGATGAAAGAATTGTGACAAAAAAAAAAGGGGAAAAAGAGCAATGGATCAAGGAGGGAATTGGCTTTTGCCTTAGTGGCAATAGTTGCAACAAGTTCATTTGCAAGTGTTGTTAT